CAGCTCCCTTCCACAGTGAGTTTGTGTTGAGGATAAAGTGGAACACAGTGTTCCTCTCAAGCCTCATGTTTGTTTACTTAGTTTGGTATTTAAACTCAAAGAGAAACGTATGCAGAACATAACTATTTGTTTTTCTTTCCATTATTATTATTATTATTATATTATAACAGGCACCCTTTTGTGCCTGTTCCTCACATCGTGGTCTCAGCCACTTGACCCTGTGCATGTAGTCATTACAATAGTTGGAAAACTTTCATTTATGCGGCGACGACTACATTGAGATTTGAGTTTAAAGACCAATAAACTCCCCAGAAATACATGGAGAGCTGTGTAGGAAGCTTTTCGTACACCTAAGGTAGACATTTGAGAAAGAAATAAGGGGCCCTTATTGATACTTATTGGCTGTGGGTCATGAAATACCTGAATAGCCTCACATAGCATCAGCAGGACCAGAATGCATCAGCCAGTGAATTCATTGAAGAGACAACATGTACATGTATGTCCATTTCAAATCCATAAACCCTTGTTACAAAGTCAACCCTATGTGTCTCTAAGCTCCCCTGTACTGGTACAATACAAGCTCATATTGGGCTCGAACATGAAATGTCAGGCTTGATGGATGTCAGGGCCGGTCACGTGGGTCGCACTCTCATTATTTGACATGTCGGTAAAAAATAGCTACGCTGTTGGGACAGTGCAGGGGACAGTAATCCTCTGATCTCGCTCTGCACTAGGCCACGGCCGCCTCTCGTCCATGCCAGGCTGTCCAGATGGCTGGTAGGGATATCCGTCCCATCTGCCAACCCAGAGTAGCACAGGGGCCAAGCAGATTACCGCTTCGCTGAGACACTGATCTACTAACATACCTTCATCCATTCCTCCACTGAGTAAGGACTGAATGAGTAGGAGAAAGAAAGATAGACAGTTTGCAATGGCCCAATGGAACTGTAATGTTTTAGTAATGGTGTACAGGCTCCACACGCTCTCTGGCACACATGTGTAAAGAGAGAGAGGTTTAGTGAGCGTTGATGAGGACAAACTTGCAGCGCATCGCAGTCTGACCGGTGATCCCAGAGTGTGAATTTTTAAAGCTGGGGGTTGCTGATCAGGAAGGGAAGCGAAGGCAGTCTCTGTCTGTGTGTTACAGAGTGGGGCTAAGAGGATTAGCTAAACGCCTCTGCCTAGCCTGGATATCCAGAGCTGTGGAAATCCCACTACAACCACAACCCCCAACCATGGCCAAACCCACCCTCTAACTACACTCTCGGAAAAAAATATGGAGCCTGCATTTCATCTCCTGATGGACCATTAGCCTGGAAATGCCGGCTCTTTGACCTCTACCTAATTCAACCATGTACAAAAGGGGAAAAAATTAAGTCAACCATACACTATATCATATGTCATTCAGCAACAACAAACCACCAAACAGAGCCCACTATTCTCCATGGGTTTGGTCCTCTCAAATAGACAAAACTATTTTAAATGAAGGACAAATATGGCCTAGACACACCAAAAGCCATCAAGCTAAACTGAAACAAAGCCCTCGGAGAAAGATGGTTGTTGAAACATGAAACATTTATAATCAAAAATGTAATAGACTGCGTGTGGAACAGGGGAGGTGCAAAGCACTGATGAAAGTGTGGAACTACACCACAGAAGACATGTGCAGCTGTGGATCAGTGCAGACAATGTCCCACCTACTGGAATGTGCCGATGCCCCCCGGTGCAGTCCAGAAGACCTGGCAGAACCTACCCCATCAGCTGTGGCCTGTGCCCGATACTGGCAGAACGACATCTGAGATTGCTACGGACTCGAAGAAGAATCAAAAAGGCTAACATTCTCCCAATACATAGATCTAATACAGACGTTGTGGTCGGCAGGCCTTTATTGTACCCAGATGTGAGAGACAGACATATATCCATCAGCAAATCTTAGAGAAACAGCGCTGTCAGACACGGTGCCAAAACGCCTGGCAGCCGACTCCTCCAGCTGCTTCATAAAACACAGACACTGACGCCATGGCCGTGACCATAAACTCTAAAAATGGACAACAGGGGCAAGAGGAAGCCTAAATGTGAACATGAGAGGGGGTTGTATGAGGTGGAAATGGGGGGGATGGTCCCAAATTTAATACAGCTCTTATGGGGTATGTATGAAAAGCTAAGAGACAACTAAATGCGTCAGGACAGGAAATCATAAAACCCTCTTTCATTCACCGTCATCTCTCGCTGGATCACTCAAGAAGCACTAAGCGAGGGGAAATGTTGCTTTTCTTGGCAGGGAAACGTGAACAGTCTGGAGCGAGACTGTGTGAGAGTTGAAGGGGTGACGAGTGTGTCAAAGGTAGATTAAAGGAAGCAGAAGAAGATGGCGATGAAACATCCAGCTGTGCCAGCAGCTGCAGCTTGTCCCCAAACACGAGAGGGGAATCGGGGTGACAGCGATGCCGGCCAATAGTTCACAGCCGAGGGTCAGCCCCCCCGAAGCGCTATGAGCCCTATATGGCGGTGCAGACGCTGAGATAAACATGCTCGCTGCAGGCAGACAGACCCACACGCACGTGAAGGAAGGCAGAGAGGGGGGGGGAAAACTGAAACTTTCTAAACGGTGAGCAAGTAATCTCCATTTATCTACCAGCGTTTCCCGAACAGACTAGTGCAAAAGCAAGAGGAAAGAGTGGAACATCTGGATGCCAATGTATTTTAGGATTATAACTCTAAACAAGTTTCCGTGCAGCACGCAGCGTTGGGTTCAAAGGTTATCCCAACCCACTACGAACCAGCTCCAGTAAATATCGACATTCCTCCCGTTAAATTAATTGCTGGGGTTCAAGCACGCAATGACTAACATGGCTCCCACAGGAGAAGTGGGAATGAAATGGTGTGCTGGTTAAAAAGCACATAAACAATGCAGAATTAGATTCCTAGGAATCATTTTCGGAAAAAACAAAAGCCACTATGAACAAAGATGTTTTGTTTATATTGGTGGATTCAATTTGTGGGCTGAACATTTGATACATCAAATTACGTTCTACGACAACACTCCACAAGCAGAATGAGTCGGTCTATATTCAATTATTTTAAAGATATTTTCTCGGCATACAATAACTAGGTCTATCCTCGACTGAAGAAATGATTAGTCAATCAACACTCTTTTATCAATTAGTCGATGTAACTGAGTTTCTCCACAAATCCAACAAAAGCAACACTTTAAATCTTGTGTTAGCATGAGATGTTCGGATGCGTTTCTTAGAAAAAAAGTCATAAAAAACGTTCTAAAATAATTCATCAACTAAGCAATTAGTAGACAAAGAAACTCTAGAAGTGGTGACTTTAAATTGCTTATTTTGTATGGCCATCAGTCAAAAAAAAAGTCTAAAAGTTAATAGCCACGCCGGTAGCTGTACTTCAGTAGAGTGCTGCTTTCAGGTAACTGCTAATGCTAGCATAGCAAGCTAAAGCGAATACCATTAGTTTAGCATAACATTCATCCTAAAATAGAATAAATAATTGGACCAATCAAATCAAACCATTGGCACTGGATAAAAACTGAGGTTCTTACAAAAACTATTAGGATTCATCCTTTATATTATGACCAAAGTGGCCAAACCAACAGACCCATCCATAGACCGTCAATAGTTCAATTTTTTATATGATAAAAAAATGTCTTCATTTTTTACCCATCAATTTGTGTCTCAATTAAACATTCTAAACCCAGGTTCATTTTTCCTCTTACTCAAACAAAGTCTCATCACGCAGTGTTCTCTCCACCACTCATTCAGTCTGTGGCCTGACATTAATCCTACAGTTAATGTCCAGCAGAGAAAAGTGAGAGGGCGTATGAGTGACACACTTTGAGGGATTGTATGCATCCATCGCTGTAAAACTCAGTGCACCTCTCTTCTCATCTCACTGTGGTCCATCTATCATTCTGCTGTTCAACTTTCTTTACAGTACTCTCCTCCTTTGAAGTACGGCCCTGTACCTCTTTTTATTGAGGAAGGCTGCCAGCTGCTATAGTGTGTTGACCCTAGTCTACCTTTCTTCATCTTGCACTCACATCGGGAATCATTTAAAGTCGATGTACGCCATCATGGTAATAAACTGTACGGTTACTGGCCAGGCTGTTGGAGTAAAACTGGTGAGAATGTGTGAACATAGTGGAAGAAGTGCCTCTTTAGTTGCTGCAGCAGTAAGTGGTCAGTAGGGGGCTGTGCTAGTGCTAACTCTTTAAAAGCATGTTGGCATGTGACCCGCGGGTCAGGTGGCAGCTGTCACTCTTTGAATATCTGTGTGTGTGTGTCTGTGTGCGTCTATGCTTGTGTGATTGTGTTGCATGTGTGTCAGGAGACTTTGCACGCTTGTACAGTTTTTTTGACCTACATACGGCTCTCTACGATCAACTCCAAAGAAATCTGTGTTAATCAGCCGCCTCTCCGGCCAGCCTGTCTGCTGCCAGTAGCGGGGTGACAAAGGAGATCAGCAGACCTCATTAAGACCCAAGAAACAATAAGCTCAGATTTTCACTTCTCTGAGCTGCAACCCCCCCCCACCCTCACCGCCAGAGCTATCCCAACTTTGACCATCTCAGAGTGGCAGGATTGCATCTTGGGGGCGACACACTGCCTGTCCAATAGTTTTCTTACATTATAGTTCTGCAGCAAACTCATTCTGATACACAATTCATGTACTTGTAGTATTTTCTCTATAGGGTAAGATTTGCTAGTAGGCTTTCAAAATGTGGGAACAGTTAAGATGGAATATTTGGTGAATGGATGACCAATCTGTCAATCAAAGTCTTGCTGAAGCCAGTCAGGAGAACATTAACATTGCATTTGGCTGAAGCTTTTATCCAAAGCGACCTACAATAAGTAATAACTTATGCTATTGCAACATATTGGAGCGGCCATTGTTGTCTTGAATTTGGCTTTTTTTTCCACCACTTCTTTCAGTCTTCCCAGTATGAGAGCTTGTATTAATAGAAGAATCCTCCCACTTACCTCTTGAGTTGGTAGCCAAGTCCGCCACCTTCTGAAAGGCATCTAAAAAGGCCACTGCTGCCAGAATTGTGGTCCTGAAAATAAAATGGCACATGCAAGTTTGTATATATTGCTTAAATACTTTTAGCATCCAGGTTTCACTATTCTCTGGAAACACTTCTCACCTGAGTTGAGAGTGCAGTTTTGTGGCCTTGGCACTGAAGTCTTCCCAAACAGGGTAAGAGCTCTGATAAGAAAAAAGAAACAAAAAAAAGAGTCAAACAAATATCTCTCCAAGGACATTTAAGTGCACAGGGATAGCTTCTCAAACACACACACAAAACACACACACAGTATGACTGCATATTTAAAAATACATAATAAGCTCCTTGACAGGATACAACACAAAGTTGAAATATAAGTCACAAGCAAAAACACGATGGAGCTTGGCTCTTTACCCTGAGGTTAAAGACAGGTTGGCGTATTAGCTCCGTGCTCTGACTCGTCTTTAAAAAGGTTAACTTAATGTCTCAGTGTACTTGTGTAATAATTGTCCTCAATCATCCTAAATGCCCTCTACACGCTGGTTCTGTGCTGTGGGCTGGTATGTGTGTTCACATGTTTGGATATCCTTTGAACATGCATAAGCTCTTATATCAGAGTATTTATGTGCACCGGGCAGGTAGTAGGGCTGGTCTTTGAAAAATCTGGATTAGATTTACCCAAGGATCATCACACGCAGCCTTGAGCTGCAAGAGCAGAAGCCAAACATAAAACACATTCAAGGCTAGATCCCATTAGAGCAAGAGCTTGAGCCCTGGAGAAAGGAGATGAAGGGCATAATCCACGTTTGCCCCTTAGATGGAGACGAGCCAAAAGAGGCCACACATCCTGACTATATATAGTCAGTTTGCAATCTGAAAAACAGTCTTGCTCTTCATCAGTTCTGCTGTAACATCTACTGTTTAACTCTCTGCCTTAGAAAGTGATTTAAGGAGCCATTGAACACTAGAAAAACGTTTGCCATGATCCTCCCGGGCTGGCTGTCTGCACTCCAACAGGTGTCTAATTAGCTTGTGTGGCCTGTGACTCCCGGGGGGAGCAGGGATGCGCTGCCAAGACAGCTGAGGGAGGAGGGTGAAGGAGCAGGCAGGGAGACTACATGTACACAGCAGTGGGAGGGTGGGACTCGCAGTTCTCTCCTCATCCACACCCTGCAGCTCCCTGGGAGGTGATGGGAGACAAACAGAGGAAGGAAAGAAGGAAAGGCTCTTCCTTCCATGCCATTCACTGCGGGGCGAGGTCAAAACCATTATCCTCGGAGGTGGCGCGCAGCGTTGCTCAAGGGCATTTTAAAGGTGGTTGCTTTCCCACACACGGAGGCTTGGAGTCACATCCATATTCACATCCATGGCTGACCTAAATCTTGATTGCTGATGTAATCCAGCTGAATCATTGTAGTCCTTTTCTGCCACTGCCTCCTACTTATTTCCCTGCAGCTTTGTCAGAGAGTTATATCACCAACAGGTGGTGCTTATATCATCACATTTTGTCAGTACAGTCTGTAAAAAGTGTTTTGGTTCTCCAAGTGCAGTGTTTAAGTATCATGTGGGTAATTGTACACTATACTGTAACATTGTTCACAATCCGCAAGATCAGCACAGGAAAGCCGTGCTGCTGCGTTGCTCCCGGGGGGTAAAGCTGCTCTGACAGGCCTGTGTGGACCAGCCAGGCGGAAGGAATGAGGTCAGATGTCTGTCTCAGACAGGGGACATGGACACTGTGCTGACTAAGGGCTTCAGTCTCATTCATCTGCACTGCTTATCAATACACAGACTGCCTCGTTCTAAGTGCGCCTGTCTCTCCCTCTCTGGCCTATGAGCACACCACAAAGGGGAAATATAGGAAACCAAAGCAGCGCTGCCAATGGCCGAGAGCTGATTTCATTGGATAAACGCAGGGACATAAATAGTGAGTCAGAAGCACCACAGCCTGTGAGCCAGCAATCAATAATAAATCTGTTAGGTGGAAAGTGCCGCCTGATACTCGACTTGTTCACTCTTATTGACACTTATGTAGCATGAGCGTCCTGCACAATGAGGGGACTGACTGGGAGCTGCCTCCAGGCCTGATGAATGAGTTCACACTTTCCATCTGTTGTGCTGAACAACAGACCACCCTGGTTCCACTTCCTTGACTTGACCCCTCCCCCAACACATACAAACACAGTGTGTAATAGATAATGGGAAGCATCTATATCCTGCTCAAGAAATGATTTAGAAAGGTGGGGGACTCATGTTTTAAAGAATAAACATGCATGGTGGGGCGATTCAGTTACTAAAGTAAGGCCTGGTTTAAATGTTCAGTGAGCTACATATTGGTAAAGTGGAGTTTCCTGCCACAAGGCCAAACATCAGGAAATGCAATCAATAACCTTTCATGCCTGTTTCTGTCCAGGAGGATGTGGTGATGGAACCGCTTATTTTCTATCAGAGCATCCTTCTGAGTCTGACATTTAATCTAGGAAGCCTTGGAGGCTGGGGGGTGAGGGGGGAACAGTTGTTTGGGGTCAAATGGCAGCCCAGAACATTTGCACTGAGATCAACAACATTGTAATTATATCCCAATTGTGATAGCTCTTTTTCCCTTCCTTTCAGAAAAACAATAACGAATAATTGTTAATAATAATAAACTATTTCTACTCATGTTGGGTTGACCCCTGAACCAAACACATAAAGCCACCACCAACTAGGTCCTACCAAAATAGACATTTTAGTTGCTGATTTCAGTTTTAGATAGCAGTTTAATACAAGCTGACTCATTGTTTTAAGTAGCCTATTGTTGAATATATCCAGTGCCTGACAGACCTGCTGCACATTATGCAAATAACACAAAGGGAAACATGTTTCATCTCTCGATATGTCCTGCAGCGGTGTTTCCAGTGGGGGAGGACCCGGTATAAGAGACAAAGGCAGTAAAAATATGCGACCGTGCAACCACAAAGGTCAGATAATATCCCTGTCTACTTTAATGTAAACGTGAGTGTGTGTGTTACCTTCATGTCGTTCACGATGGCCTGGAATAATCCACCCAGCGCTCCACACTCCTTCTCCACCGACTCCATGGTGTCAAAAACAAACAAAAAAGCTCCCGGAAAGACACAAAACGCAGATTAAATCAAACGGCAGACATGGAGATCTGTGTGTTGTTCATCCGCCCTTCGTTGTCCTTTCCTACGAAAATCTAGTCCAGCAGCGGAAGGGGATGCGAAGCCACCAAAAAAGCCGTCAGCCTGCAGCCTGCGGAGCGCACAGACAAAAAGAAATGTGCTGCTCGATGGCACCGGGGCTGCCGCTCGCTCCGCCGCCGCTACTCGCCTCTCGGACGCGGTGTAGGGATGGAGCCGGGAATGGGTTCTGTCCGGGGGGAACTACAGCATGGGACATGCAATGTGGCTCCTCATGATCGCGGCGCAAATAAACGGAGAGATCACAATTGTGGGTAGCCTAGGGCAGCAGGAGGAGAGGGCACCATGGGAGAGGGATCGGTCGCAGGTCTGAGACACGGGGACGCGCTCCGTTGTTAGTGGCGGAGCAGATGTCTCCCAGCTCCCGTAATACGATCCATGGGAATGGGAAGGGGGCTGGTCAAGTTTTTTTTCACATAGTGGGTGAGGAGGAGGGGTCAAGGAGGAACACCCCCTCTTTGCTCCCTCCTCCCCTCCCATCCACCCCCATGCAAACTGCAGTGAAGCACTGTCTTCATAGACAATTGATTGAGATGCAAAAGAAGGATTTCCTCGGTTTCATGTGTATTCGAGCACGCGTCCGTTAATGATCGTTTGTATCTCGAGTTGTTTTCAGGAGACGTGGGGAATGATCTCCTCACTTTGCATCAGCTAATCTGCTGGATAAACATGACAAAAGACGGAGAATGTTAATTTAACTCAAATGATTTCCTTTGACTTAAATAACCTTTAGCATTTTAGGAATAGGCAGTGCCTGAACTTGCTTTCCTTCCCAGTTGGGTAAGATATAGCCTAGCACTCTCATGCTAGGCTAAGTATGAAGCTGCTATACCGAAAGACAGAAGCTTGTTAGAAAGTTTCGGTATGGTGTTAAACATTACTACGATATTTCAAATGTTTTGAAAGTGATGAAATGACAAAATTAATTAAATGTATTTTATCTTATTTATAAGAAGGCAATAAAAAACACATTTTGTATGTTATGTCTGTTAGATTGCTGGGCTGGTCCCATTTCTACACAAATCCCATCCCACAAAAAATATATTAAGACACTTCTTTATAAAGTATTGATGAATAAAAATAGGTCCTCAAACTTTAAACCAATTACGTTCTTGTACCTCAATCTTTGCTAAGCTAAGCTAAACTAACCAGCTGCTGGCAGTAGCTCGACATTTAGGCCTACAAGGCTAGCAATCTCCTTATCTTGCAAGAATGCTAACAAGCAGAAGTCCCAAATATTATGTTAAAATGCGTTTGTCGTGTAGGGAAAAACTATTTACTTTAAATAATTACAGCAACAACCCAGTTTAACTTAATACTTTACAACATTTATGTTGTAGATTTATTAAAGTTAGTTAAAGGCTCAGCAGTCCCCCTGTAACCATCACATTCAGCAGGGAAAGTTAGAGGCCTCCAGAGTGCAATTTTTAAAACCACATCATCACTGGTCTGTTATGGAGTGGCTGCGGGGGGCTTGGGTCACCCCACAGCATTCCTGATAAACATCCTGTCAGTTTATACCCCTGCACATCTGCCACACACACCTTCCTCTCTCATCCGTCTGCTTTTTTTCACATACGAGCATCCACCCCACCAGGCAGACCTCCATGTGAAACATGGCCCACGTCAGCAGACAGACCAACCCCGGAGCGGAAAATCTTGTTTTTGCCATAATTCGGAGAGATTACTTTTTATCAAGTTTTAACCACATAATTTCCTCTGCTTTTACTGCCCTTGGGTCATATCCTCCCTCTGGAACTCACTCCCACAACCCATCAGAGACTGCACTGACCTCACCACCTTCAAAACACTTACAAAAGCTCACCTCTTCAATCTGGCTTTTAATGTGATTGTTTTTGTATTATTTGACTTTAACTATATATATTTATTTGTTGTTCTTTTCTTTTCACTATATCTGTAAAGCATCTTTGAACACCTGTAAAAGCACTAACAAAATTAATATATTATAATTATTATTATATCAGTAGAGTTTGTATACAAAGCAATCACATTAACAGTGTTGTACCATTAAATAATATCCTTTATGTAGAAGAAGCACATGACTTCTACTGTGGGTATTTATAGAGCAACCAGATACCAGCATCCTGACTTTAAAACAAGAGCAGAGTCATAAACATGAGCACTGTCGGAACAAAACAAGAGCGTAAAGCATACAAAATCATACTGTATTTTTATTAGGTTGTGCGACTAGGTTAGGAACTATGTCTGGTTTGGTATCTTACCCTCCTGCCAACGTGGACAGACATGAGGTACAGAGGCCAGGACTGCAGCCATAGTCCCTGCTCTCTCACCACAGATCTCTGAGAAAACAGCTATAAAACAGAAAATATCCCCAACACAGATGCTGACATTCCTCACCACCACCAACAAACCCCCCTGGAAAAAAGCCTCTATTATGTTCACTGCCATACCACCGATTCATGTGCGTCTGCAAGTTTCCTTAATTCAGCAGGCCTCGGTTTTAGTAAGGAAAAAATGTGACGCTTTCTGTTTTGCCCCAGTAAGGTTTTACAACTGAAAGCAATCATCAGCTCTAAACACATCAAGCTGGGGGGACTCAGAAGATTTTGACGGCTTATATAACTGACTTTAAGGGCTTTGACTTCTCGGTACCATTGTGCTGTAATGCCTGTTTGCTTTTCAGTTTCACCTCATTCATATGAGAGAGCGGAGGGAAAACAATTCATCATTTTATTAGCGGGTGCAACACAATAGGAACAATCTGACATTTGCTCAGCTTGTAGATAAGTCATTTAGATTTGGATAACGTTAGGTGTTATATTGTAACACTCAGTTATATAAGGTTACGAGGTGGGAACTTTAAAGCAAACGCCTGTTTATTCCCAATCTTGCTTCTGTTCACTTCCTGCTCCCTGCATGACATTTCAGGTTGCTTCTAACCTTGACCTGGCCGCAGAAGCTGCTCTCCTCTATACAAAAAGAGAAACACAGGCTCTGTGATATACTGTGACATCTGCCCTCAGAGTCAGGTCCTACCCATGATTCAGCTGGAGCCCTTGTCCTGCCTTGTTTATCGCAAGTAGTGAAGGATAACGTTCAGGAAGCTGTGACCCCAGATGAAGTCACTGCTGAGGTCACCGCTGGGGACTTGTGTCCACTTGACCGTAAAATCTATCAGGATTTATCATCTGAGTCTGCCTCTGGTTGTTATAAAAGTCATCTTGCTTTAAAGCTCAAGGTGAGCTCACCTGCAGGGAATCATAAGGACACATTTGAACATCCGCTAGGCTTCTGGTTTTCCTTACAGTAAGTTATGCTAAGATCAACGTTATAAAAAGGTATAAACTGACAGAGAAGTCGATTATACAACATGTTTGAGAAATTCCTGTGTCTGTTTTTTTCCCCACTATGAAAGCTCATGTCACCCTTGGAATCCATTTTAACAGAATGAATTCAAGCTGCTGGAGAGGAAAACATTTAACAGGCACCTTTCGAGCCAACAGGGGGTGAGCGTTTGATACTCCAAAGACAGATTTCACAGCCTTATATGGTGTGCTTTTGGCACATGTTTACTGTTCCATTTTTCTCTCCCTGCTTATACAGTGTTTGTGTGATTTACTCACTAACATCTCTGAAGTAATGTCCTCTGACTGTCAGGCTGCCAAAATTAAGATGAGTGAAGAGGGGGTTGAATAATATGCTAATGAATATGCTTATCACGTCACCAAGCTGTAAAATGATAACTATGAACCAAGTGATGATTAATTGAGTGAACCTTTTGGGGCTAAAGATAATGGTTTTAGTGATGTCACACTGAATATTTATGTATTTATTATGGTATTTATGAGTCTCTGTGTGTATTATGTTATACCTGGCTGCAAGACAAATGTCCCCCTTGGCACAATTGAGTTATAGTTGAAGTTTAGTTTTCACAGCAATAAGCTTTATTAGCAACATTGTGATTTATGGACTCTTTTACCCCCAAGGAAGCCAAGACTCAGTACTAGGAAATGTGCTACCACCATCTACATGTTTTCAAATATGTCTTACTGCATTTCCTTATAATATAGGCTAGCATAGAACATCAATCAGAGGCAGCAAAGGATATAGTGCTCTCTCTAGTAAATATGTATCAGGTCTCTTTTGGGGGGAACTAAATGTGATTTTAAGAAGGGTGATTGCATCAAAAATAAAATTAATTTATATAGTTTTTTGTTGCAGTTTGTATGGTAAGCACCACAACATGTTGTTTCATAGTGTATGTAGATGATGGCACTCTCATCCTCTCATCCTCCAACCCTATTTTTGTTAATGATTTAAGACCCTCTGATGGCACCCCCTTTCACTTCTCAAACCAAATCCACATCCTTGTGTATCCTCTGCATACAAATATTCATAACAGTTCCATTTTTTAAATGTTAATTCTGGAAGCCATTGTGTTCAGTAATTGCACGCAGCCTTAAAAATCTACTTTTGGAAATATAAAACGTACTTACATTACTTAATCCATCACCCTATCTTGGTTGCCAGATAGGGAATTATTCACAAGCTATGTGGACAGAAAACCAAAAGGAGACAAACAATAAGCTGTTATGGATCTGGTGAAACTATCACGTAAATAATGTATTTCCATAACAACCGTTACAGTTCAGCAGCAAAAGGTCTAAAAACACTTAATGCTTTTACTCTGAAGATGATGCATTAGACAAAACAATAAAAAACACTTCATACTGTGCTGCTTAGATGTGCTTTAACTCTTCATTAGTGAGCTGTAAGGGCGTCTTTAACTCTTGTCTTGGTTCTGCAGCTGGCTCCCATCGCTCCTTTGGGTCAGAAGGGTTTCAGTGCTCTTTAACACTGCCGTGCCTCTCTGAACGTGACACACCACAGCCCCATACGTCAACACATCACAGATGGACACAGAGTTATCCTGGGAGAGGGATCAAAATCTGTGGCATGCACTCTTTGCACTGCATATTCCTTAGAAGTCTTCAAACAGGAGGGCGGATGGCTAATGAATGAGCTAATGTAAACTAGACTGCCCATTCTGGCTGAGATAGGCTCTCCCTCAGGGCCTCTGCATCTCTCTCTGTCTTTCTCCCCTTCCTTTGCTTTTATCCACCCTGTCTTTTCATGCCTGGCCTCCTCTTTTTGCTCACTTTGTTCCAATCCTGTACCCTTCCCCTGTCTTATCATTACTTCCTTAACCTCCCAATTTACTTCCTTTTCTTACCCACCCAAAGCCCGGTGCCCCCTCAAAGTTGGGAGATTTTAAGACTCACGTGAGCCTGTGGAATTTCTTCTTTGGTTAGCCTGACAGGCACTGCTCGCCTGCTGAGGAGCATCCCACAGACACGTGTGCTTCAATGTATAGATCGGGGAAGAGATAGAGG